CGTGAGCGAATAATTTTGTGACGTGAAAACGTGTAAAGAATTGTTATGACCTGTTCTTCTGTAATTATAAACCACAATGTTTCAAATTTTTTTTACGATTCTGTTATATTGAACTGTAAATTATGTATTTCCAAATTAAAAAATTTCAAAAAGTCCTTTGTTGTCTCATTATTTCATTCATTTTGGTTGCATATTTTTATTTACCAATCTTTTATAAATAAGATATTCTTAAAATAATTTTTGACAATATCTGATTTATAAAGGATTGGTAAATACACAATTTTTAAAAGGGCAATTTTTAGGGCAGTCATATTTTAAAAATAAACAAGTATTCGATCCGACCAATATAGTTTCAAGTTTATGACACGGTTTTTTTCAATTGATATACAATATTTGTTTTAGAAGAAATTAAAGTCTTCCAGAACAAGCATACAAAATTTTGTGTATGTGTAGTGTTAAGAATATAGAATTAAATTTTAAAACTTAATTGTTAAATGAAACTTTGTGCGATACACAATTTGCACACTTGCTTGCACACGCGCTCGCGCACGCACACACACACACAAAATTATAGAAGTAATTTATTAAAATAATTTAAATGTACATTTTCAAGTTACAGGTTATTGAAAATAACTGATCTTTTGCTAAATAAACTGTAAATGCAAAAGTAAATGCTACAATACATGTATTTACAATACGTGCGTATTTATATTTCAAATCTGATTGTTATACATAATCATGTTTTACAAGTATGCATTATCGACACTTTGTAGATATAGTACATATCGGAACCAAAAAGTCGTGGACGTAGCACGGAAGAGACCCAAAAGATCGTGGACATTGCCTACGGGATTCGTGGACATTGGCTACGTAGTTCAATGTGCACGTTATGTGCACATAGAGGCGCTAACCCACGGAAACACGTAAAATGCGGGCATGTCCACTCTCAGTCTTCTCTCTGGTAAATAGTATCGTAACGTATATTATAGATACATGCGCGCATATGCGCTTTACGGAACGCAGCCATTTATGCTTGTTTGTATCGTATTTGTGTATTTAGTTTTTATTTTTTGAAAAAATAGTGATCGGTACATTGACTTAGCAATGTGCATCTCAGAGTTGTACATTGTGACAAAACAGAATATCTTTTTCACGTATGCATATATATTGAAAAATAAAACATATTTGATAATTAACTGTGTGAGATAGGCTTTTATTCGAACACTTAAAAATTTACCCTATTTAAAAAGATTTAAATTTCCTATTTGTACGATTATTGTACGATTAAAATACTTTTGTAATCTTCTTTTTTACATTTTTAAATCATTTACGTCTGTGTCTCAGTAAAAAAAATAATATAAAAGACTCTTAAATACATTATTTCGTTATTCACGAAATTGATGTACCTTGATGTTTAAAAGAGCGAAACATTGCGAATATAATCTTTCGACTGGTCTTTCTGCCACTTTACACAAACATTTTATACAAAAGGATGATTTGTAATTAATAAATTTGGTCTAGATGTCGATCATTACGGTTTATTTTCGGCTAATTGATTGGATTTAAATATTCAGATTAATACATTGACATTTGATTTTCAGTATAAACAATTATTAGATTGACAATATTAGATTGAGAAGAGAAATATGAAGAGAAACGTGCATTTGTACAAACTCGTACAAGTGTCTTTCTTCGTCAATGCGATGACGCGAAAATGCAACTGAATAGCAAGCGACAGCGGGCATCGGGCACCGGACAGCCGGAACTCGACGCGCGCAGAAATCAATTCCGTAATTGTTAAAGCATGCGCGCAAACGATGGTAGGACTCAATGTAGACTCAGTACGAGGAAATAAATAACGTAGTGATCAGGTGTGCGCGATTAAATAACTCTAGCACGGGAGAAGCGAGGACTCGCTTGGTGCACGCGAGAAGATTATCGAACGCATTCTTATTCGCATACCATGGATTCGTAGGAAGACCAAGCATCGATCTTTCTTTAAACTCTTCATAAATTTCTCCTCTTCTCCGGCAATATGGATGAAAACTTGAGTCGGGGATATGTCCAGCTAGGCAAGGCCAGAGGCATGAACGAATTCAAATTCTCAAATGGATTTACACATCTCTCACCGCCTGTTGACAAATGCAACTTTATTTATATGGCCCTGATTCTCGGTGGCATTGGTTTCCTTCTGCCTTACAACAGGTCTTACAACAACAGATTACTTTATATATATATATATATATACACATATGTTTTGTTGTGTGTGTTGATAATTGAAACAAATAAAAAATCTCTTGCTAGCATTATTATAGTTTTCTGCATTCATATAGCAATTTTAATCCTGCGTTTAAAGATAAAACGATTGATGGAAATTATTAATCATGCGTTACTTTACCGCGCGTGTTGACATCGATTCAAGTTACAGACTAAATAATACTGTCAAAATTAACGTAGTCTTTTATTGTTCAATACACACACACATATATATATATAGAGAGAGAGAGAGAAAGAGAGAGAGAGAGAGACATGTTCATCTTTTCAATAATAAAAAATTAATAATTTTTTGAATGCAATCTATTTTTTACTTCTATAAAACTTGGAAAAAATAGATATATTAAAATTATATTCTTCAATTAATTTTCAATAAGTTTTAACTCGTCAGATCTACACTGATAATAAAGTATAAGCGGATTTATATTCAAGTTTCATGAAAATCTTTACAATTTATAGTGACAATAGTGTCATTGTTTGTTACAGCTTCATTATAGCAGTGGATTACTTTCAAGCGAGGTATCCAGGAACTACTGTGATATTTGATATGTCTGTCGTATACATTGTTATGGCTTTTTTTGCAGTCTTTGCAAACAATATCCTAGTCGAAACTTTATCGCTGAATACGCGAATTACATTCGGTAAGACACATGAAGAGAGATATCAAATTAATCAAGATATACACATATACGACATAGTAATTGGGATGAAAATGTGTCCACAATCATAATATAACAAAACTCTAGAGGAAGAATATGTAAATAACAAAAGATATAATTTAATCTTTAATTTTTAGGATATCTGGTATCTTTTTTCACTCTGAACTTGGTGGTGATTTGCGAGATTTGGTGGGAATTATTCGGCATTGCAACTTCTTATAATATTAATTTACTTGCTGTCGCGATAGTATCACTTGGATGTACAGGTATAGTTGAAGAAATTGTTATTGATTTAATATTGTGTAATCGCGAAAAAGTATCCAAAAAATATTGCAAACGCATTCAAAGTTTTCCGATTAATTAATAACCGCAACGTTGCAACTCTTATTTATTAAATAAATATTTTACAAATATTTTATCGTTTGATAAATATTTAATGAAAAATCAATTACATTCGCTAATAAACACCATTGCTTTGGTTTATAGTTCAGCAATCGAGTTTTTATGGATATACATCAATGCTTCCTAGTCGATATACCCAAGCTGTGATGACTGGAGAAAGTAAGTATTACACAATAATGTTTTGTAAATAATTGGAGTGGGTTTTTTATTATAAGTAAAAAGTTAATTTATTATCTTGGCTCTATTATTATTCAATAATTATTAGGAATTCAAAGTTATGACGAGCCGAGCTCGGTACAATTGCTCACTTTCATTTATAGTTAATACTCTATTTACACAAACGTTTCGATCATTCGGGTTGTGGTCATTTTTAGTGTGTTTAATTACATCTATCCTATCAGTTTTTTTACATAATATTTAATCGCAGCAGTTAATCCGTTTTTATTAGTAAAGATATCTAGAGTATCAGTAGTTTACTTAAATTATAAAATAAAATTAGAAAATGGAGGATCTTTTCTAAGCCTCAAGTTGTACAATTAAATGATGACGTATTGTTTGTTGTTCAAATATGAAATAGACATTATTTTAACAGAATTTTAATTTGGAAAACTTAATCGCCAAAATATCAGATATCTCAATTTGATAATTTTGCTCGACTCAATTTCATTAAGAAACAGTTCATCATATTATTCATCATATTATAATACAAACAACAATGTTGAATTTCTTTCAAGTTCTGTTACACATATTGTATATGACGTATGAAAAAAAAAGAATTTAATTGTGCGTTTCTAGGTTTTGCCGGCTTTTGGGTGTCAATCAATCGAATAATCACAAAATCGTTGCTCAACGATGAGCGTGGTAATACATCCATGTTCTTCATTTTGTCGAATATGACAATCCTATTATGTTTCGTGCTAAATATAGTAGTGCAGAAGACCGATTTTGTGCAATTTTACATAACGCTATGTCAAGAGAGAAATCGGATCACATTAGAACCAACGGAAGATGTTGGTTTGGTACGTAAACAATCAGATCTTTCATTAACCTATGTGAAATTTGCATTGAAAAGTTTAGGAATAAAGTAACAGCCAGTATTTTGTGTGAGAAGAATGGAGGATAAACAATCATCTTTTAGTCAAGTTACTTGATTCTTCTTGAAATGGTGTATAGAACAATTATTGATGTGAAATAGATATTTTGTACGTAGCAATATAATAATTCATCCATTAATATAATCGTGTTTTTATTAAACAGATGGATCCATTAGATCAAGTCAGCGATCCTTCGAGAGGACAATATGGAGTGTTGAAAATTCAAACGAGTCCGTTGGGAACAGAATCCGCGAGTGCAAGCGCTGATTTGAATAGTAAGATTATTAATTCTTCACAATCTGATAGTCAGGAGCGGCGTAACGCACTAAACCAGTATCAGATTATGCAATTTATTGCAACAATTCGTATACGATCTAGTAAATTACTAGAAATGCCGTGTGCTGTATGTATTTTTAGTTTACTAGATCGCATGCGAATTGCTGCAACAAGTTGCATAATCTGATGCAGGCTTAAGCATGGCATGGGAGCGCCTCTTTAGTCAAACTTAATTTTTTATCAAAAATTTTTAATCAAAAACTTTAATAAATAAGTTAATAGAGCCGGAACTTTGACGTGCTCAGTTATTTATTTAATGAAATGTACAAACGTTTCAGCCATTGTACTTGGCCTTTCTCAATGTACGATAATTAATAACATCTAGATAACGCAACTCGAAAAACTGCATTTGGATTATGAACTAAACCGTTTAGTTTTTTAATTACGCACGCAACTTAACAATCTACCGGTAAAGAAGAAGAAACGAGAATGTTCTCTATCAGATGCCATTGTGAAAATCTGTGAATGTTACAGAAGTCAACCAATGTAAGCGTATAAATACATGTACCTTTATATCATCGAACTCGTTATTTGTTTCTCAATAAGCGTAAAAATTTCTTTCTATATATTCGTCAATTACAATTAAAACAATAACATAACTCATAGTCAACCTTGTTAGAATTATAATAGAAACAAAATTAAGAATAATTCGCGTTTAAAATCTGAATAAGAAAAAGAATAGATAAAAAGGCATATACCTCAACTCTTACCGGGCATACATTTTGTAAAAAGAATGTCATATTTAAAGGTTTCCGATTTAAAAATTATGTTATCAAGTCCCTTAAAAATTTTTTGTTAAATCTCATGTATAAAATTTAATTTTATGTCATTTCTCTCACTAGTGTATTCGCCGACGTTACGAGAAGGACAAATCGGAACGTGGAACCATACTAAGAATCGAAGGAAAGAAAGAAGTAAGAGAGAAAAGGGAATATAAGAAAGAACGGGAGTTTGTCACAGACTGGGAAATTTCTTAATCGACAAGTAACTATCAAGTAAAAGTTTGGTATCGCTTTACTTATTTATTCCAGTATTCTGTCTTTTAATATAAACCATTTCTGAAATTAATCTTTTATTGTACGAAGGTTCTCTATCTAGTATTTCCACCTTGTCCCATTCAAATTCATGTTTATATTCTAGTCTATGATTCAAAATTACTGACGAAGATCCGAATCTCTTCTTAATATCTGACTGATGTTTTTTGATTTTGATTCTTAATTGCCTTTTTGTCTGTCTTATGTATGTCGCGTCGCAGTTATGGCATGAAATTTTGTAAACTACATCGCATTGGTTTATAGGGTCTAATAAATTACTCCTCTTTTATGCATTAATGTGAAAAAAGCTCAAGTACCTCCCAGAAAACGTCAGTTCGTAAAATAGGTCAAAGATGATTTTTCTATTTTCAATAATAACCAAAACATTTAAAAAGTTGATGTGATTGTCAATTCCTATTTCTAGAGTAAACTTTAGTCGTTTATGTAATGAGTTGAAAGTATGTAATATGTTATTTAAATGGTCTTTTTCAGCGGCAAACAAAATATCATTACGTATCTATAGTAGAATATTAATTGATAAGGAAAACGTTCTACGATTATGTTTTCCATATCCTGTAGTACAATGTGCTAATAACACCGCTAATAACGGGGAAAGAGGAAAGTCCATAGACGTGCCAAAGATTTGCTTAATAGAAAACATTATTAAAACTAACAAACGTGGAATTTAAAATTGAGTTAATCCCATTTAGAAATTCGTTTTAATGGCATTGAAATGTTTTTACTAATTAAACTCCATATTTTTGAGATACTATCTATTGCTACTTTAGAATGTTTGTGAATAAGGATACTACACCTAATGAAGCCAGGCAAATATCTGAGTTAACTTTTTCCATTTAACTTTTTGACCAATTCCATATTATTTTCTAAACGACTATTTGGATTTTCTTTTGTACATAGTTTTGTGTAAAAATTTTGCAAGTGTATAGTGGGCTGTTTACAGAAGAAACTATTAATCTAAATCTAAAAGGGAATGGTTTGTTTTATGAATCTTCGGCAACCCATAAGTCCTAGGCAATATTCCATTAGTTTTTATTAGACACCTATAAATATGACTTTCAATATATCTTTTCTTTTTCCACCTAGACAGGAGAGAACGAAGATTATCAGTTAATTTTTTAGTAAGATTTTTTGCAATTATTTGATATGTGTTACTATCGGATAGCATCTCAATCATTTTTGTTGTGCTCACTCAGTTCTGCTTAAGGCTACTATGGTGTTGCCTTTTTCTGCTTTCGTAAACAATTTATCCGGATTTTCCCTTATGAACCTTTTTGTGTATTGAAATCAACTTTACAACATGTTATCATTCCTGTTATTGTTAAGTTTGGATTTACACATATCGTTAATAATCGAGACAATATCATTTCTAATCGAGCATTGAACCTCATTATTACACCTTTCCCAATTCATCTTTATGCTTTTTATGAATTCGAAAGAAATTACTCTCTTATTCGTTAATGACAAATTAAATCAGTCTCCTACTTGCAATAAAAAACGAATTTAAACGACTTTATTCGGAATAGGTGTGCCTCACTTTGTGTAAGGAAGTAATTAAAACAAAGACAATTAAAAACCAGAATCAAAGAACATCGGTCAGATATTAAGAAGAAATTCGGATCTTCGTCAATAATTTCGAACCATAGACTGGAATATAATCATGAATTCGAATGGGACAAGGTGGAAATACTAGATAGAGAACCTTCGTACAATAAAAGATTAATTTCAGAAATGATTCATATTAAAAGGCAGAATGCTGGAATAAATAAGTAAAGCGATACCAAACTTTTACTTGATAGTTACTTGTCGATTAAGAAATTTCCCAGCCTGTAACAAACTCCCGTCTTTTCTTATATTCCCCTTTCTCTCTTACTTCTTTCTTTCCTTCGATTCTTAGTATAGTTCCACGTTCCGGTTTGTCCTTCTCCTAACGTCGAGAAATACACAAGTGAAAGAAATCACCATGACATTAAATTAAATTTTATATATAAGATTTAACAAAAAATTTTTAAGGGGATTGATAACATAATTTTTAAATCGGAAACTTTTAAATATGACATTCTTTTTACAAAATGTGTGTCCGGTAAGAGTTGAGGTATGTGCCTTTTTATCTATTCTTTTTCTTATTGAGATTTTAAACGCGAATTCTTAATTTTGTTTCTAATTCTAACAAAGTTGACGCCTATGAGTTATGTTATTGTTTTAATTGTAATTGACGAATATATCCCATACAGCACAAAACATTGCATTTACATTGCAGCAATGTTACAATTTTGCAAGTTGCAATGTAATATTGTTGAGAAATTATTGGAACATTGAATTGTAATATTTCATGAGAATGTGACAGCAACATTGCAAAAACATTACAAGAGCAATATTCGCTAATCGCTACCCAGGGAGAAATACAGGTCGAAGAAACGTCTAATAGACATCTAATAGACGTCTATAGACGATGTTTATTAGACGTTTCTTCGACTTGTATTTCTCCCTGGGTAGTTCGTTCGTTTACCGCTATGCGACGCGCGTTGCAAAATCTATCTTGTATTTAAGTTTTAGTCATAATGATATAAAACTTCCAAAGAGTAACTAGTAAGATTAAAGACCTTAGTAACTATTTTTATTAGTTAAATTTTTCTGATACGACCCTAACACAGGGAATTCAGATATTGAACTGATTGTTCAGAAATCGGACAGATAAATGTCCGAATAAATAAAATTATATACAACATTATTCTAAGATTGCAATAACAATGCATTATTGCAAATTCATTACATTGCAATATTACTGTAATATTTCGTTACAATCTTCCTAAAGGCGGACATTTTAATGTTGTTGCAATCCCACAGCAATGATGCAACAACATTTTGCAGTAAATTTGCAATATTGCAACATTGCGATGAAAGATTGACGCAATGTGTATGCAATCTTTGTGTGCTGTATGGGAAGAATTTTTACGCTTATTGAGAAACAAATAACGAGTTCGATGATATGAAGGTACCCAGGTAGCACATGTTCGTTTCATATACGTTTCATATACGTTAAATGTATCCAATGTTTCTTAACCGTTAAGCATCAATAAGAAACGTTTTTGAAACCATTCAACAGAAACATTTTTGAAACCATAATTTAAAAACGTTTTTTTCACGTTTTTAAAAAACAGAAAAAAATAAATGTTTTTAATTCAAAATTATGTATACGTATAAGCACTACAGAGACTACATGTTAATTTCTATTTCCAAATGTGCGAATACTAAAGAGGGCATTGAGGTTAGAATTATCGATTCTCATGTATAGATCATAACAGTGATGCGATGTTTCCTACCGGGTTCCTGGCTTCTGAGCCCCACACAAGCGAAAAGAGCGTACATGTGCTGAACGCTTTGCGCAGCATATGTACGCACTTTTCGCTTGTGGGGCTTGGAAGCCGGGAGCCCGGTAGGAAACATTGCATCACTAGATCATAGCCGTTATGACATGACTTATGACTTGATCTATTTCGTATCAAAATGCCGAACGCCAAAATTTATACCAAATATCTTCGCACTTCTGCGGCAAATAAGGTGAGTTATATATATTGAAATACAATAATAATATTATAATATAATATTATAATATTATTATAATAATATAAGGCTCTAATAAAAATATCAATTAATATTAGATGAAAAAGGCAAAAAGAGTCGTTGCTAGTTATTCATGCAATATATTATACCATATATTATAAAGACAAACGTTTCGACCTATATTAGGCCTTCATCAGGCCTTCTTACAGATATTTTTAAGACATTTGTGCTACCTGGGTACACATATACATACCCAGTCAACAAAATGTTAGCAACCTGCTGGCAGTTTGCGAGCAGATTCGCTCAGAACTTGGCAGCAAATACGGTGCCATCTGTGTCCGCATTAAGCTCGTGTTCTGTCGACAGAAACTGTCGACATAGATTGACAGCAGATTGGCGGCAGAAAACGAGCAGGATCTGCGCAGTGTAATTTGTCGGCAGAAATCGAGCAGAACCTACCGTCACAATTTAAATGGAATAGCGGCATTTAAATGCTTCAATACAATTTTACACTTCTCGTTTTGCTTATTAAAAGTAGTAAATGAGGTATGTAAAGTATATAATATATATTTGCTTTATTGGGACAAAAAAATACTTATGTTTTAATAAATTTATTAGGCAAAATCTCGAAATCACTGGAATATCGGGTTAACTCGCAGCGCATTTTCAATTTCAAAAATTAGTTTAATATTCTGAATCTTTTATGGGGATTGTATCAGATTATTGTATTAAACTGTTAAGCTTTATTAAGCCACTGGCCACATTTTATATGCACTGTAGATGAATTTTGAGTACGAGTTTATATATGAAGAAACACGCCGCATAGCGGCAAACAACATCAAATTGCATTGTGCAGATTTTGCTCGATTTCTGCCGCCAATCTGACATCAAACTGCATTATACAGATCCTGCTCGATTTCTGCCGTCAATCTGATATCAAACTGCGTTGCGCAGGTCCTGCTCGGTTTCTGCCGCCAATCTGCTGTAATAATTCCGAGCAAATCCTACTCGGTTTCTGCTACTGATCTGCTGTCAAATTATGTCAACAGGTTTTGTAACATTTCTGCTGACATTCTGCTATCATCATCTGATGTAACAGATTTTGTATACAATCTGCAGTCTTTCTACTGACAAAAATTTGTAGCAGACGTTTGGCAATATCTGTTCGAACAGACTTTGCTGACTGGGTATGTATGAATGCATTATTTTATTAAATCCGTCAAAAAAGTACATTTTTTTGCGGATAAAAGAAAAAAAAACTCTTTTTTGATTGTTTATTAAACGTTTTTTTGTCGGAAAAATAACGTTTCTCTTAACGTATTTCGAGTTGACATTTTTACCAATGAGAAACGTTTTTTAGAACCGTTATGAAACGTTTCAAAGAAACATTTGTGAAACGTTTCTGAAACGAACATATGCGTAATTAAAAAACTAGACGGTTTAGTTCATAATCCAATTGCGGTTTTTCGAGTTGCGTTATCTAGATGTTATTAATTATCGTACATTGAGAAAGGCCAAGTACATTGGCTGAAACGTTTGTACATTTCATTAAATAAATAACTCAGCACGTCAAAATTCCGGCTTTATTAACTTATTTATTGAAGTTTTTGATTATTAAACAATATAAGAGCCTGTCACGTAATTTTATTGTTAATTTTTTAGTTTGTCTAATTTGAGTAATTAAATTTAATTTTTTAATGAAATTTAATTTTTTTTTTGTAAATAATTCTATCTTAGACAATACATAGAAAGACAATCACTATATATCTTAGAAAGTTAAGAAAAATCGACACTTGATATCGAAAGAAAAATTGGTAAATATTCACATAAGATCAACTTCAAAAGTCAATGACCTTGACATATGTTGTCAAGGACATATCCCCAGGTAACAATCGGGGATATGTCCTTGATAACATATGTCAAGATTATTGACTTTTGAAGGGGTTGACCTTATGTAAATATTTACCGAAAAATTTTAAAGAGCATAGAAAAATCGAAATAGAAGCATATTGTGAAACGTATTTGAAAGAATATATCACAATTGGTCGTATTAAAATTAGAAAAAGCAGAATTATTTAATGTACATAGTGTATTGTTGTGTAAGAAGGGGAGAAAACGTTGATTTAGAATTTGCGTGAAAGTGCCGAACAGTTTAGCGCTGCCGTTGTAATAGTACACACAGAATAAAGAGTGAGGCCAAGTTTCGCCCCTTTTTTATTGAAATTTTTGTACTTTGAATATTCCAATAAGTGATACATGGAATTGATATATAGGAATAGAATAAGAATCTGAAGTCTTGATATAATATTATTCTCTCAGCCGTTTGCAACTCACAAAAATAAAAAGCTATTTCTAAACCCAAAATATTTTATTTTAATTATAAACATTAAATAAAAGCAAAAATTGTAGAAAAATGACACAAGTTGCTGTTTGAATAAACTTGAATTTGAATTGAGTGCGTCAGTCGAGCAGATAAAGCACAATTTAGGCCACGCGCTAGTTTGGCTATCTATTGAGATTACCACCTTTTGAATCATTTTTCTCCCAAATGGTGAACAGGATAATATCGAAACTTCAGATTATTTTTCTACTTTTTCTAAGCTTCTATGTATCACTTATTGGAATATTTAAGATACCAAATAGGGGTAGAATATTTATGGACGTTTGGTCGTACTCTTTGTGTGAGAACACTGGATTGTTCCAGCGTCTGGACAGTATTCAGCATTCTCATTCAGCAATCCGGTGTACGAGCCTAGTGCTCCTTCAAGCAATCCGCCTGGTAGCGCTGGTCCAACATACAAAGTGGAAGATGTCGTAATTATGAGAGGAGCTTATGGAACACAAAGTACAAGCACACCATGCTCTGGAATAAAAAGTAAGAATATCGTTTCCTTGACTTAGCGTTAAAGAAGAAATGACCGATTCCTTATTTAGACAGACAACACACAAGTCATGGCATTTTTTTTCTGACGTCTTTTGGACGTCTTTCAGATGTCCAAAGATGTCTTTAAGACTCGTCTGGGTTATACATATGAACTATATATAGAGTCCTGCACCGAGTACACCGTACGGTAATAGCACATTTCTGAGATTATTTAGAGATAAAAATTCTAATACGAAAATGTCAAGACTATAGTAGCTTTTGAATAGGAAACATTTAAAATTGATGAGAATCAAGTTGCTCCAAATTTGCACATTTTTTATTGTATGTAAAATTATCTGTATTTCAAAACAAATATCTGAATCGATATCTAAAGGTACCTTTATTACTGTACAATGTACCATGCCTGAGCGCGCAAATTTGGAACAACTTGATTGTGTGCGCGCGCGCGTAATCAACTTTAAATGCTTTCCATTTAAAAACTATAGCTTCGATATTTTCATATTATTATTTCCAATAATCTTAGAAATGTGCCATTACTATACAATGCGCTCGATGCAAGACACCCTGTATAGATATTTAAAATTATTTATAGAGATCTTTAGTTACTTTTTAAATAATGTGTGTGTTAAGCTCGTGTACAGATGATTATAGCGAGGCGATATAGGGGACAAAGATTAATCAATTAATTGCAATGTAAAATATCATCTTTTTGTACGATTCATAACTGAAATTCAAAACAATATCTTTCAGGAGGCTTGCTTGCAAGACTTGAAGTGGCTAAATTGATCTTTCCGTACATGGCTAGCATTGGGGTTGCTTACTTCGTAACACTCTGCCTGTATCCAGGAATTGTATCAGAAATAATATCATGCAAGTTTGAATCATGGATGCCGGTAATTTTAATGACTGCTTTCAACGCTTCTGATTTACTCGGCAAGGTATTACCAATTTTTATTTTATTTACCAATTTATATTAATATATGCTTATATTAATTCTACTATTCTGGTACCTATATGCTAAAACAGTATGCATGCACAAAACATGCAAATAAAACATCAATTTGCGCTTTACTTTTTCTGTAAGAAATTAAAAGCGCTTTCGAAAGTGTATGGAAGTGTATGAATAAAATATACTTATTGTTTGATTATACAAGTAACGATGCACATACAAAAAATAAAATTAGAAAAGTCAATAAAATTGCAAAATCAAGAAATAAGGATAATTACTTATACAGGGTATCCCATAATTCCTGAATCAAAATATTATACATAAAAATTCTCGAAAAACGAAATACAAAAGTTTTTTACGAGTTTTCAATCCAAACAATAGTTTTTAAAATATAAGAATTTTAAACTGGCCAATCAGATTGTATAGTTAAATCATTGAGCTCTGTAACATACTAGAGTAAACCTTCCCATAAGAACCAATAGTTTTCGGGCTAAGGATAGTAATAGTGTCATAGGGACGTCTGTTTCCTTCCACTTTACTATCATTAATAAAAACATTTGCCTCAGTAGCAATTAATGGCTGTCCATGATCTCATTCGCAAAAAGGTTGATAATAGTGATAGTATTATACAGGGTGTTTCCGGCCACTCATCTACCTCTTTTATAATGAAAAGAAGTGGTTTTTATCAAAAACCCGAAAAATTCTAATAAATAAATTGGGTACGCTCTATCGAATGGTGATATTCTCAACTTCCGGTTTCAATCGGAAGTAGACTATCCAGACCAAAAGTCGGTTTTTTAAATGGCACGTGGTATTTTTTATTGCAGATTCAGAGTCTATATGAAAAATACTATTGTGTTGCGTTGTCTTTCCGATCGCAACCGTAAGTTCGAGATCCGCTTGGGGAACGGGACGTACTGCTTAGAGGTGTGGAATAACTGGACGCAAACCTTGCCTCGAACAATTTATTTAATCACTCACAAACCGCCAGGACGGTGTTAGATTTTCGTGAGCCGTGTACGGACACGGGGAAACGAGTCGGTGTATTCGCGTATCGTAAACTGAATCCGTCGCTGCTTGCGCGCGACTGTATTTATACGAATCGGCAATCAAGAGTTTTGTAATATTATTGATATGTTATTGTTGATATTTCTCGGATTGCTGATTCGTGTCACCTTGAATCCGAGGTTGTTTTTCTGCAGCCTCATCGTTATTCTTTATTTGCTAAATAATTCTTTCTTAGTATTTTTATTTTGGTATTTAACTTAATTAACCTTATAGCGACACGTTGTGTTACGACACACAACATCCCTCCCCCGCGAATGGAAGGAAATGTAGGTACGGAGTTTCCGTGCGGAGTAGGCGGTGCGAGTGTATAGTTTTACAGTTAGTTCTTGTCCTACCGTCTACCTATTATTCCGCAGTAGTCTTTCTTTTTCGTAATAATAGTATTGCTCCTA